GTCCTCTGAGCTGCGATTCACGGTTCAAGCTCGCGCATTTGCGTAGACATGGTTGACTAACAGATTCGGCATTAGCATAATACTTTTCTCTCCTCTTCTTTGTTTCGTTCTATTTGCCTTTTTTCCCCTCGATGATCCATATAGTGGGTCCTTTTTCCAGTCGATCGACCATTCACCATTTGATTATAAAGATGCTCTTAGTATCGAAAGCTGTCCGTCTGCTGTAGTCTTTGAAAAAGAGCTGACGTTCAGTCGCAATATGGTCCGAGTATTTCGGAGACCTGCCTCGGCTTTAGCCAGGCGTCTTCCAAGTAGGACCACCAAGCGGACTCTCCGAAAGCATAAGGTGATCCTTGAATCTATCACACAGGAGAAAAAGAAGCTTCGGAGTGTTGTATGCTCCCTTCCCTGTTTAGTACGTTGAGGAATGGGCTTGACGGCAAAGACAGATATCATTCGAAGCTAAAGCACCACCCGGCTACACTTTCATCCCCGCAGGCAACCCCCAGCTCACAGGTGCGTGTAAGGAATTATGCCGAAAAGATGGTCTGAAAGTCTATGCTGTCACGGTATGCTTGTTACCAACCTCCCTGTTCCTCTGTCATCTTCGCAGTCCTTTTGTTTCTCTCTGCTCTCGCCCGGTTCTCATATCAATGATTAGACAACTCCTCATATGCACACCCACAACCTTTCTCAACATGTGCACCGCATTGGGTATCACTTTCCAAGCGCTGTTGTCGCAACTGTGTGTATGGATCTGGGTTTACAACTCACAGCAACTGGGAATGTAATGCCTGTTTACAGCAACGCTGCTGCTGGTGAAAGCAGACATGCTAACCCTGAGGCTTCACAAATAACAATCAACACCGAGGCTAGGGACGTGCTGAGAGACCTCTTTCCAAATATACCCGACAACGATCTGAATCAGATCATCAAGACAGCGTTCCAGAAGGTATGAAGATCAAATCGGGTGCGAAAGCAGCGGCTCGTCTATTGTTTACTGAATTCGAGTCAAGGGCCAACGCAAAGTCGGTACGGCTGTTGAATTACCCCTAGCACGTCGGGCACAACTAGCTGTCGTTGCACACATAAGGCATATCTACACTGATTACGATCGACTTCTAAAGACAACATCGTTTCACGAAGCCCGAAGCGCGGTTGAAGAGCCCACTTTAGCTAAGTTAGTGGAATGGCGAGGTGACGATGAAAACGGAAAGACGGTTCTTGAGGATGTTTTTCGCGAGGTCATTGTGATATCCGATGATGACGACAGTGATGCCGAGGAAGGAGAGGTCTCTCGTTCGGTCAATCGAGATCACAGTATCGAAATCGTCTCTAGCCACCAACGAGCAGAGGAACTGCACACGAGGACGGTCAACTTCGCTCACCCAACCGTGCAGGAATCCCATTTGGACATCTCAGATGATGAACCTCCGCCTGGTTTCCGTTTCATCCCTGAATCGCCGAAAAAGCAGCGGATCGATCGTCGTGGCTTCAGCAGATATCATGCTTGGGACCGTGCCCTCAACCGATACAGAAAAGGGACTTACCAGCATAGGTTTTACGCAGATTCCACCGGCCATCGAGGGCCATTGTTGACCGCACAACAGCCCGTACAGGAAAGTATCACATTTGACCCAGGGGCTGCCTCTCATCGACCCATAACAACACTCCGCCACGTCTCTGTTGGCCCGTACATCACATCTAAAGCAAAAACCCTTGACCATGGACAAAGGAGAACTCTGACGCGGCCATTGGTGGAGAATCGTGTAAGTTTGCAGAGAACCGATGCCGAGCGGTCCGGTCATGAGGACGCACAGAAGACCCATATAAGGCCTCCATTGATATCTCATGAGCCATCTAATCTGGAAAGACTTGTGCATTTACCAAATCAGAGAAGCGATGCCAGTCGCTTGGCGGATCGAGATTTAGTGGAACACATTTCAACTGATCAACAGAGAGCGCGTTTGGACCAGCGGCTTAATTCTCCGAATACCCCTGTCTTCGTCGGTGGTCCCACAGAGATCCAAGGACGGAGCAGAGTCCCATCCGGTGCTATGTCAAGAATTCCTGGTCCTCCATACCTTGGAATGCAGCCGAACCCGCAGGATCATGTATTACCCTCTATTGAGACCCCGCCTTCCCTCCAGCAAATAAGGTGTCCACCAAATGCCCACCTAGATCAACTTACCAGGAGGATATCGGGAGGATTCACTATTCGATCAGTAACACCACGCCGCCCGGCCCCGCAAGACTCATTACCTCAGAGAGAATCAGATGTTACTCGGATTCCAGCGTCGAAAAGAAGACGTGTGGCCAACCACGACCCTGCAACTTACATTGAGCCTCGCTCCGATGTTGAGCCCATTGTTCCTGTGGATACTCATGCGAAACAGCAGTATGTTTATTTGGGAAATGCCTCCCCAAGGTCATTTACTTCCCAGAGTGGGGCTCCGATCCGTAGGAGATATATGGTACCCGTCAAATCCCCTTACCTTGCAGAGCGCTATCCAGGGGAATCCCAAGGCCCCTCTAACTATGCCACACAACCCGTCCCAGAAGTTGTGGTTGATCAATGGCAATATTCTAACTTTAAAAGCAAAACGGCCTGGGAGCATCAGCCGAAGCACCAGCTGGAGCAGTATCGGGAGCTGTATCCTTTTCACAGATCTTCTGGGCAAACTCACGTTTCATCAGGTGCCGGCTATGGTTCTGCCCCTGCAAATGAGAGATATAATGGTGTCTCAAAGCTGCCTGACACGGCTTCAGAAGCTAGACGTGTTTATGGAGATCGTCGAATCCATCAAGAACAAGCTAGCGAAGCGACCTATATGCCAGTTTCGCAGGATTTTGGGCATCATCATCATCGGACCTTTGATCCTTATGGGGCCTCCAAAAGCAGCATATATGCCGATGACTTCGTACGTCCTATTGATTATAGTGATGATGTACGATTGGTTAGCCAACGCCAGCACGGCCATGTGCAAGCAACTGGACCTATAGATTCTCTTCCTGGACCAACTAATGACCACCTTCGACACTACTCAAGCAGGGAATCGATTAATCTGCCATATAGTACACTCGTCAATCCACCACGTACAGCTCCAAATCATCGAGGCGCGGAAATCAGTCGGCGCGCTGATGATCAAGTTCTTGTGGATGATTGGGGCACTAGCTGCTACAGTCGACATGAAACATACGGTTCCTCTCTTGCACTTGATCGGGATGGCAGAGGTGGCGAACCACAATTGCAACAGATAGGGTATGACCTCGACCAGAACCTTTTCTTGGTGGAAATGCCTGCCTACATTTCACCAACCTTCCCTCTTGACCTTTCTCCGTTCCAAACACTGTGAGCTGATGTTTCTATAGATCAAGTCAAGAAGCTCGTTTTAACCTACCACCACCGAGAGAACAGCGACATTCCGCATATTTGAGGAGATCAGGCGACTCTAGGCTGCATTATCCTGTTTCAGAAGGACGGACAGTCCTTATCGTGGATTAGACAGTGGCGGGATTGTCTAGCTGCTGCTGATTTGTTCTTAGCCGGAGGATGTTTCTTTGTCTATTTTATCATGAAGTGTTCCATGCACTCTCAAACTCTGCGGCGTTGATGCGAATGATACCCAGTTGTGTGTCCTTTATGATTATGTACGAGTTCATCAATGCTAGTCCAGCGGCACCGTTGTAACAACCCAGTGATGGTATGCGGTTAGTTGTGTTAAAATGTTCGCAAATCGAGTCTACAGAGAAACCATTCAAAAAATATATGGCCTAGCGTTTGGAAAACGATCGCATGTAACAACTATGATTCCCAGACACAAACCAAGCCGGAGTAACGAGCACGCTATGCAATCGGCGTCGATTTTGAAACATGGTGAGAAGAGCAAAGAAGATAGACTGCATGAAAACCAGCTGTTACCATATGATCAAGTATTATCGGCCCTGGTGAGCATCATAATCCCAACTGATGAGCTTATGACCTGTACCAACTTCGACCACGGCCTTAATTTGTCCAAATGATGGAACCGGAGACGGGCGCTGCACCGAAATCAAACATTCATGGGTATTCCATCAGCCTCTCCAGAGTTGACCGTCTTCCCTGTCTTCTTGATCGTCGCCAATACAGTCTCGTAGGAAACAGTGGGTTCTGTCTTGACAAGGGCGGTCTGTGAGTCCAGGCTCACGTCGAAAGACTTCACGCCTACGAATAACAGGAAAGGACGGATCAGTTTGCCGCTGAGCAAGAGAATGAGGAAGGTTGTATTGGAGTTGCGGGAGGACAACCCGTGTTATTTTTGGTCACTCTTACCATCCAGCTTCTTCAAGACACGCTCCACAGCGCCTGAGCAGCCACCACAGCTCATGGAGACATTGAATTTGTACTGATGCTCAGACATGGTGTACAAAGAATCAGGGACCTGATGGATGGGTTTTGATGGACAAATAACTGGGTCAAACCAAAAATATGTGCTCTCGACGGTTGAGGGGTATTGAAGATTGATAACGGATCTGATACGTAGCCGCTTAAGATAGAGGGGTAATGGGGGCTTTAACAGCACCTGCAAACCACTGTTGATGAAACGTTCAGAGAAATGGATTTGCAATTACACGAGAGTAGTAGGGGAAGAATATCAATTATTTTGATTGCAAATGGGACCAGTCTGAAATGATTGAGGAGATTTTGTAGAAGACATATGCCTCCTCAAACAGAGACGAAGAGTCTATTTATAAGCATCCCCCCGATCGCTCAGTGTCCATCGAGGGAATCACGCAAAAATCACTCATACTACGCTAAAGCCTGTAAAGAGACATCCTTGGTTCTACTGTTCAGCTGTCGGTTCTCCAAAGTCATCTGTAGAGTGGTCGCTCGCTAACTGCAACGTTGGTAAACAGATAGTATCGATTCGTCTCTGTGGGAATTACTTCTCGTCATTCTTGATCCTGAACGGGCCCCTGCAATATTCTACTTTCAGAACTTTCTACACTCCACTTGTCCTTTAAAAGCCAGCTGCTCTTTTCTTTTTCCTCGCCTTCATGAAAGTTTTCCGACTGGCTTCTCGACCTCCAAACGTACCTCTTTCTACCTGGGTCATCGGTAGATCCTCCTCCATAGCTTGACTACTTTGAAATCTTAACATTCTGGACGGCTCGCCGCCCTCTGGCTGGCTACCCCATTCTCGAGCGGCAAGGGCGTTGGAGGATACGGGAGGCAGCTGTGATGAATTCAATGGAGTGCCTTGCGATGCCTTTTTCCGCGGGCGCGGTTTCGGTGTTGTCGCTTTAGAGGCACGTTGCAAATCCTCTTCCTCCAGCGTCTGCGCCATCCTTTGCCAACTATACGTGGCCGGGTCGCTACCTACCTGCCAATGAGAAAGCAAGTTTGCCATAGCTCCACTTGGTGGACGCTGGGTGTGGAAGGTTGTCATCGAAGCTAGTCCACAGTAGACAGGCTCCGTTCCGCTTGTGCTCTTGGATACTCCTTGCTCTTCTGCCAAAAAGTTACTCTGAATAGTAGTTTTGCTGGCTGCCGGCTCCAGTGCATAATCACTAGAAATCACTCTTGGTACGGATAAGAGTCGTTTACCAATTTCGAGAGATGAAGGCGGATTGACTGGCATGGGCGACAAGTCATCAATTGTTTCATGATTGGTGTTTTCCGTCGAACGCCCGATACCTGCTTCGTTGAGCGGCTTACGCTGTAACATGGGCTGCGTCAGAGCAAGCTCTGCTGCCACTTTGCGAATGACCCTTTCTTTCATAATTCGCGTGCGCCCCGGGATGTCGTGCTGAAGGGTTGAAAGCCAGTCATTAACTAACCGATCGTAGAGGTCGACCAGTTCCACCTTTGAGGATTCGAATAGGTCCAACGACTGCTGGGGAAAAATTGCTAGTTGACTGCTTGCCAGGAGATTGCGCGACATTCTCGGAGCCAGAAATTCATCAAGAAATTCATCATAATCATGAGCATTCTGGTCGATGTCGTCTAGCAGAGGACTGCCGGCAAGGACTTCTAACCTGTTAAGGTGTCAGCAATAGAATCATAAAGTATACATCCGACGTTGACAGAGCCTACAAGGTCTTATTGTTAGAAAGATGAGCCAAGTCTGCGGAGGCCATTCTGTCCTTCAGTTCCTTGATAGACTCTTGGAAGCCTCTGTCTTGTTCTTCGACGGCGTCACTTGGCCCCCCAATTACCTTCCCGAAGGCAATGGCGTAGATTGAGCTATAATCAGTTGTCCATTGGGTAGTGGCCAGTGGCGTTATGTGAGAAATCCCCGTATCTGCGACCGTGAAAGTTCCCCTGCTCACTACAGACTCATCCCAGTCGTCGACCACAAAGTCATCCCGCGAGCGAGTAGACTGCTTTCTCCGAACTCCGGGATAGCGCTTCCTTAAACGCAAGGCATCCTTTCCCAACTGCTGATTATCTGCATTAACCCCATTCTCACCTGCCGGGCCAATGTACATCGACTCCCGGACCGCCAGACGCGAGTCTATTGTGAACAGCTTTATGATTTTGGCGGTGGCATCGTATTGCTCCTTGCTCCCGGCAGATGGTGCATGTGCAATCTCCCGGAGAACCAGAGTTGAGAACTGAGCTGCATTCGGTGAGATCTGAGTTTCTGAGTTCTCTTCAGATACGGGAGGGATCTCTAGAATGAACGGGTCCGATATGCATGTCAGATGCATGTATCCATCCCATGCAACTGGAACCCGATACCCCAATACCACATGATTAAGCCGAGAATACAAGACGAGATACAATTCTTCAAAGCATATTGTTAGCGTGTTACTGTGAAAGACAAGAGTAAAGGCATACCTTCAGAAATGACAAGAGAGGCCAAACGCAATGTCATGTCCTCCGAATCTCTAAAATGGCGCCAAGATAGAATGGGTAACAGAGACGGCCTTGAAGCATCATTTTGAGGGTCTGCGACGAGAACGGAAGAAACATCAAGCCAAAATATACGTGATGTTGTCAGAATGAACACTTGTGACACATTGCAAGCACTTCTCTTGACATCTAAAATCCACTCTGATTTCCTCTTGAGCTCAAGTTCTATCGCAAAAGGCAGAGTTTCATTACCCTCTGTCCGATAAAGTATGGGACAACGTCGGTCCGACACAATGAAGCTGTTGACGTCGCCCACCCATTCGATTACTGCCCATCCATCATGTCGAGGAGAGGAGTTGATATTCTGAGCATGGCCAAGGTCAAGCCATGGTAATGAGCCGGACTTGACGCACGACGCAGTCCAATTGCCCTTACCTCGTCTATGCCGACCTACCATTTCCCAGACGCTCCAATTTCCTCTCTCATCGACAATGGCCAATTGTTTCTGATACCAGGGGTTAAAAGTGACGTCGGCATGCGCATAACCTCCCGTTTGGGAGTGCGAAATCTCGATCAATGGGTTCGCGTCAAGGCGCGAGGATTGTGTATGGCTCGGAACCACACGGTCACCATCCTGGTAGATGTACACAGAAACCGGCTTCCTACGATACAGAGGTCTGAACACAATCGTTGAATGAGGAAAGCGAGCGGCGGCCCATGTCGGCTTCTCTTCTACCGTCCGCGCAAAGCATATTTGGCGGACGGGGGCACCTCCTGCGGACCATTCGGTACACTCAGTATCTCCGATCACCGGGATCCGGATTCGAGCTTTCATTCCGTGCTTCAGTTCAGCAGTTCCTTCTTCTATCTTCCGGAATGAAATGACATTGCAACATTCTCCCCCGACAGTGATGGCGATCGGGACTACCCGATTGCCTGACTCATGATTCTCGATATCCACTGCATTCCCCAAGTCGAAAAGAGAGGACACCAAAGGGTCGCATAATTCACCTGCTGTCGTAATAATGTGGGAAACTGTCTCATTATCGACTAAAGGCCAACAAGCGGCTAATTCAGGGTGAACTCTAGGTAACAAGCTTTTATTCTCTATGAGCGAAGACTGTGGCGCCGTCAATGGTGAGACAATGGTAGTCTTCGTAACTCCTGTATAGACGAGGAGAGGTGCTTGCTACTGAGTTAGAACATTGCAAGCCCAAAATATTCTTCACGACCTTTCTCTTTGCTTCAAAGGTTTCACTTACACCGGGCAAGTGTTCTAGAAAATGTCCAAGCTCGTGTTTCCGGCTGATAAATCGCTCTTCCCAAGTGCCCATAATGTAGAGCACTGGTAGAATATTCATCCATTGGGCGTTTCTGTACTCTTACTGATATGTCCGATATCAAACAGGGTGAGCATGTCGAACTGTCAATGGTTGAGGTGGTGTTTGCTGCTCCAGAGAACTAAACTTTGCATAGATCCTGTTTAGAGATAGAACCAAGATGTCTCGACACCATGTCAAAATAGACAATCTTCGATGGTGGAAGTGATGGCTGGCTTGCTATTCGAATGGAGAGGGAGAAGGACAAGAGTTGTTCAGTCCAGCGGCTTCTGGACTTTTTTACTGAGGTACCTATTGCCAAGCCCCGTTAGCTTCGGCAGTTGCGCCGCAACAACAAACACCAGGTAGCGTCCGGAGTAGATAGTCACTTCTCAATAACGCGACACGGATATATTTCTTGACTTATCAACCACATTAGGTAATTTTCTCTGGACTGGTGCGACGACTTGAGAATATATACGGCGGATTCGGACTCTCAGAAATCCTGTTCAAAATGTCGTCTTCGTTCGAACCTTCGCTTTCGACGAGTGGTGTGCGACCGCCACTCGCAACAGCAGACGCACCATCGATGGCAGACACGCTACCTACCATCAATTTTGGATTCGAGGATTTGCGTAGCCGTATGGCTCAGTTCACCGCTCGCTTCGATGCTTTCATTGAGCGAGGTCGGAAACAAGTGCTAGAAGAGCGAAACCAATTCAGGATAGGGTTGGCAGAGTTACAGGGTGTGTACCAATCATCCAGAAGACGTTCAACAAAAGTATAAGTCGCTAATCCCGAGTTTAGAGGATCAGCGCATGCGACAAAGAGATATTGAGATCATTAATCTCAAGGCCCAGACGCACGAACAGACCCTCCAGAAAGAAGCGGCTGAGGCAGCCGAAATGCACGCTGCTATCTCGTCTGTCGCATTAGAACGCGACTCTCGTCTGGCGAAGCGCGACCGTCTGAAGCAGCAAATTGAAGAAACTCAGAATGCCATCAACCAGAAATTAGAAGCCCAGAAGGCTCATGCCCGGCATCTAGATGCACAATCCCGATTGAATGTTCCAGAATTAGAATTCTGGCAGGATTATCTATGTTTGCGTATCGAAGGTGCTGGACGAGAAGATCGGTTGAAATTCGTCTACAGTCACCTTCTGGAGAAAGATTGGGACACGGAGGCGTGGTTCGAACTAGGAACCGCCAGTCGCGATTACGAAGTCTTCCATACGCGGCCGAAAGTGGATAGAGAACCTCTGGAGCGGGAAGTCGACCTCTTGAACGAGGATCGTGATTTTGGGGCTTTTTTGAAAAGGATGCGCAGGCTACTTGTCGAATCGCTCAAGTAGGGTGATTCCCGCTATTGGCGAAGGAAGCATCTCATGACTCCTATTCTACTTGACTGTTTTAAACGATACAGTTCGCTTGCTGAACCGCAGCGCGGGAAAGAAGAAATCCTTTCGTCCGGTCATTTCCGAAAGCACAATATGGGGTCGGCCCCAAAGAGTAATCAACCACCAGTTGCTTCGCGATAGAAAGATATGCTTCGGCTTGCTCCAGCAGTAGCAAATCCTTCAGACTTCCCAGTCTTTGGCAGCCATTTGGCGCTCCAAACCGCCTTCTCCGTTTCCGAATGAGTCGCGACGCACGACCTTGTATCAATTGACCAGACTTTAACTTTTCCGTCAAATGAACTTTGCATTCGTTAGCCGTAGATTCTAAAGGAGTTTGAATTAGTCATATCAACCGACCTGCTCAACAGGTACTCCCCTGTATGACTCCAAGAGAGTGAAAGAATCCAGGCTGAGTGACCCGAGAGATTTGCTACCTGCTCCCCAGATGAAGTGTCATAAAGCACAATTACCCTTGAATCTCCAGCGGCAGCAAGAAGCTTTCCGCCGGGAGAGAATGCCACAGTCCGTACTGGCTTGACCAGACCTGCAGGATATCAGTCAATCTCGCTCCTGATCTTTCAGGGCTGAGATGGGGAAAAAGTACCTGACAAGCTGAACGGCATTCGTCCAGTCTCTGTGCTGAAGATGTAGACGCTGCCGTTCTCATGCCCACTGGCAATAAGGCGACCATCCACGGACTGCAGAGCTCGCATGAGCATTTCCACTGACAAGGTGGCAGGTCGAACTTACCATGTCCAAGCAAGTGCCAAAACTACCCTTGGTTTCGTAGTCTCGAATCAACTCGCCGTTGGCATTGAGATCCCATACTCTGATGTGTCCATCCTGGGTGACACCAGCGAGGTACTGTCCGTCATCTGACAAAGCTACAGCCCAGGTACCAGCTGCATCTGCCATGTTTCCTGTTGATCAATCAGTAACATATCAAAGTCGCTAAGTCTTGAAAAAATGAAACAAGTCCGGTAGATCAATAAGAAACTGGATTGTGATACCTGAAGCAGCGTCGTCCTTGGACCAAGTTCCCTCACGGCAGGCCCAGACATTGACCTCTCCAGCAAAGCCTACACTGACTGCTCTGGAGCCTTTTCCATTTGCCACTATATGGTGACAGCCAACTCTGTGGGCGCCATCAATTGATTGCACCAATGGGAACTCGGGATCTGTTGTAGAATGAATCTTGAGCGCAGTGGCGCCAGAAGCCGACAGGATTTGTGTATCAGTTACAGCCAGTGAGAAGATATCAAGAGGATGAGCTGTATCCCGCATAAACTACAGTTAACAAAATTCAGACCAGGAAAGAAGTGAGTGCGTCAAGCTTCTTAATACTGACCATTCTCCGCGGAACCCCACGACAGGTATTGTTTCGACTATGTATGTTCAGATGTGCTGCAACAACCGTGGCAATTCTCTTTTAGGGTCTTACCATGTTTAATCTATCTGAATCATGGGAGACACTTGAATTGCCTTGTCTTTACTCGTTGAGTGAAAAGGATGATTGGATTGCTGAAGCTCGATAAATCTGATACCCCGTAAGTGGTGGGTGGGCGTGGGAAAATAACCTAGGTCAAGGTAGGTATTTGCTGGTGAGATCATGGGTGCGAGCGGCCACGAGTCCCACCATCCCCATACACTTCAGTGCAGTAAACACTCTTTTTTTTTTTCTTCCATGAGAAGACTCCAAGAGGCTGAAAGTTGACGTGAGGCAATTATCGGTTTTAAAGGTTTCAATAATAACTATACACTAGCAAGCAAGAGAAGAACGGGAAACAAAATTTATACAAGGGCTCTCCAATCAAACCAGACGCCGAATGCCATGCAGCATACCCTATATCCCAGCTGTATAAAAGTACAGGTCTCTCGGTACCTCGAATCTATCATCCATGATTTTCATGATTCAGTTTCACGGCTCACTGTCCTCTCAGATCACCGTTGTATTCCACTCATGCGATCTGGGTGTGCTTCCATTGCTTCTTAATATCTAAACAGGAAACAACTCATCAGACTCTCGATAGACCAACGGATCCAGTGGGCGATAACATACCTTCAACGCAGTGTGGACATAAAACATGAGCACGCTTCATTCGACCGCATCCAGAACAAGTGTTGACGTTTTTGAGGTCTTTTAAAGCCTTGCCAGCCATCTGCCTATGACGCTTTTTCATGTGGGATGTCTTCTTTTTGGGTACAGCACGCAGAACGGAATCCCAGATGCCGGAAATGATACCGGGAAGGTTCAATGATAGGGCTGCAGGACTCAGCAGCCGATGGGGGAGGATTGGAGAACTCTGTAGAAACCGCGACCACCGTCTTGCAGCGGAGGAGGATAGAGGTTCCGAGGACAGAAGCAAGCGAGGAAACATGTATGACGAGATGGCGGATTGAAACATTCGTGAAGTCATTTTCTTGGTTTGGCAGTGCCCGTCGGACCGTAAGATAAAATGGCGGAATTGACACTGCCTTTACGTTGCTTTCCCTGTCCAAGATCGCAAGAATTTTGGACCTGTCGGAATTCTGAAGCTTTTCCCAGCAAACCAGCGGTTTGCTGTGTTTGGATTTGGAGATGCACTAGTCCTTATACGGTATAGACTTCCCCTGAGTCGCAACAACAATTAAGGGGGTTCCGTAAGGTAGTCTTCTGCTCCAACTAGAAACTCCAGATTGACCTTCTTGGGGTCCATTTAGAATACCGGTTGATTTCATACGGAGCTTTCTTGGTCAACCTATCTTCGTTCTATTTTGGCCTGTCCTCATCAAAATATTCAACTTTCCATTGCACAATTCCTTGATTTGATTTGGAAGTTATAACCCGCGAGGTAACAGTTCTCACGATGGCCACCACAGCCAATTCGACTTCGACCAACCCAGCTACTGTTTTTCCTCGCAGTCATGTTGGCTTTGACAGTATCACATCTCAGATTGAGCGGAAGCTCTTGAAGCGTGGCTTTCAGTTCAATGTGATGTGTGTTGGTACGTGGGCGGAAACTGTCCAGTTGTTCCTTGTAACGAACTCGCATTAACTATGTCCCTCTGCTCTACCAATAGGCCAGACAGGTCTCGGAAAGTCAACTCTGATCAATACCATCTTTGCTTCCCATTTGATCGATTCTAAGGGTCGTCTGACGCCCAACGAACCCGTTCGATCGACCACAGAAATCCAGACTGTCTCTCACAGTGCGTTGGTGCCGGAGAATAAGACCTTCGACAGGACCGCCTTGCTAACGGTTGTTTGCTAGTCATCGAGGAGAATGGAGTACGCCTCAGGTTGAACATTGTTGACACTCCGGGATACGGCGATCAAGTCAACAATGACAGATGGTATAGATGTAACCTAGCTGCTCTTCAATGGCCAAGCTGATTGTGTCATAGTTGGGACCCCATCGTGAAATACATCAAGGATCAGCACTCAGCATACCTTCGAAAGGAGCTTACTGCTCAGCGTGACCGCTATATCCAGGATACTCGTATCCATTGCTGCTTGTTCTTCATTCAGCCATCTGGCCATGCGTGAGTCTGGATCCTGAGAATTATCGATAACTCAATCTTGCTAACCCTGCAAATGTAGCCTCAAACCCATTGACATTGTCGTCTTGAAGAAACTCTCAGACGTTGTCAATGTCGTTCCAGTTATCGCCAAGGCAGACTCGCTCACTCTCGAGGAACGCCAGGCGTTCAAGGAGCGCATCAAGGAAGAATTCGCTTTCCACAATCTGAAAATGTACCCCTATGATAATGACGAACTTGATGACGAAGAGCGTGCGGTTAATGCCCAAATCAAGGTCAGGCCTTCTACTACCCGTGCTTCTTATATGCCCTGCCCTCCTCGCTCTAACCCTCTCGTAGGACATTATTCCGTTCGCCGTTGTCGGCAGTGAGAAAACTATTGTCGTTAATGGTCAACAAGTTCGCGGCCGACAAAACCGCTGGGGTGTCATCAATGTCGAAGACGAAACCCACTGCGAATTTGTTTATTTGAGAAACTTTCTCACTCGCACTCACCTCCAAGACCTGATTGAGACAACAAGCCAGATTCACTACGAGACTTTCCGTGCGAAGCAGCTTCTGGCCTTGAAGGAGAGCAGCGCTGCGGGGGCACACTCTGCTGGCAGCCGGCCTATTAGTCCTTCTGCCGACCGGGAACTCAGTCGCAACTCGCAACGGATGACTATGAATGGCTATTAGGTGCTCGTAGAAATTGTCTCTCAGGATCAGTCTAATAGTATCGGCTGGTCATGGTCCATAAACATACTGCAGTCATTTCCGGTCCACGCCCAAACAACGATAAAGGACCTCCTCTTCTCTTCCTCCAATGCCTTCTCCTTCGGCAACTTCCATTTTACTCTAGCAGCCCTTCACAGATATCCTTTTCAGCCCTCATATTGTTCATCAGGCCTTGTGCTCTTTTTCAGTTTTGCTTTATCTTCTCCTCTCCGTTCAAGAGAGTGACTGGGTCTACCACGTTCCTAGATTTGTCGTCTCCAGACGGAAAAGAGACTAACATTCGAATTGCTAGTTTAGTCTTGATGTGCATGTAATTAATCACTCTTATGTTCGTCAACGGCGAAAGGACCTCCTTGATTAATGGGCTTCTGTGAGCCGAAGCTTCCAAGGCAGATGATCCACTGTTCCAGTATCGCAACCGACAGTATCTACGGACGCTGAGGTATACGGCAGTTCTGATTGAAATAAAGCACGCTAAGACATTCCCAATAAATCATTGACGCGCTCCAAAGTTACCACCGTCGACAATCCAATCCCGCAGCTCCGTATAGGCCTTCTCCAGATTATCGTTCACGACCGTCTTATCATGAGAGCCAGGCTGCGCAGCATATTCCAGTTCGTTTTTTGCTTGAGCAAGGCGTTTCTGTAGCAAAGTTAGATTCCCAGCGGGACAGTCTGGCAGGTTGGGGGAGTGAAAGAATGTCGAGGAACACCCATACCGTCAAGCTCTCCTCAGTCTCAGTTGCTCTCCCACGCAGTCTTTTCTCCAGCTCTTCAATGGAGGGCGGCGCTAAAAATAAAAACCGAGCATCAAGATCGGTGCGCTTGACCTGCTTTACACCCTATAGCAATTCATAGTCGTCAGCTGCTATCTCGGTTGAGCTATACTTCATTCGGTGATGGATTTCCCTCTCCTTCTCTCCTCGTATCAATTCATGTTGCGGGACAATTATTACCTCCATCTCAATGTCGAGGACGCAGATCTTGCCCTTCTGCGCAACATCCTTCACTGCCTGCACAGTTGTGCCGTAGTAATTGCCGCCAAACTGCGCATGCTCGATAAAGGCATTCTTGCTCACGAGATCCAGGAAATCTTCTTTACTTGTGAAGTAATACTCGCGTCCATTCTCTTCCCCCGGGCGGGGTGCTCGAGTGGTATCTGAATATAACAGACATTGTTCAGCGCAATTCCAACAAACGAAACGGTTCGTAGGCAGAGGCAGTGAGGATTGGCAGTGGCTAGACTTACGAGACACGGATAAATCAAAAGTATCGGGGTATTCAGCGAAGAGTCTCTTGAGCAAGGTCGACTTCCCAGTCCCAGAGGGACCCGATACCACCACTGGACGGAGCCTTTGCGCTGCTGGATTGGTCAGTTCACTGCATTGAGGAATACGAGGATAGGTGTTTGGAATAGATCGCACCAGCTCCGGTAGCCATTGTCAATCGTGAGTACCAAGAAATCAAAGATGGGCGTGTATCATTCAACTTCCCAGCTGTACGAGAGCTGAATAGGCGAAGCATAGGCCCAACATGCGCAGAAAAGGCCAACAACGGCTTGTCCACTCAATAACAAGTCCCCCACCATAGTGGCAGAAAGAAAGCGGTGGGCGAGGCTGTTTGGTGCAAATGTCGCAAACATGCACCCAGTTTCAAACAGTTATAACTCCGTACTACGAAGCAAATCTAATAGAAAAAAAAAAAAAAAAAAGGAGAGATCAAGGTAGTCGGCACGCATGAGCGAATGTGGAACTCAATAAGAACCGGCTTATCTTAGAGAAGATCTAGTTTTCTATACGGTTCAAGAAAGAGCCACACTTACAATCCTTCAGGGTCTCGGTGATTCTTGATTCCCGCTAGCCTGTGACTCCTGCTCTAGGAAATTGGACCATAGTTCGGCCAATGACTCTTTGCTCGGGTTCCCCTGGTCCAAGAAATCCGTGCCTAAGGTAGGTGTGCTGGGTGTACGGTGCATGGATATACTCGGTATTTTGAGCTTGCCGGCGGTGCTTGATGTTCCTGGGCGTGCAAGGCCAGCTTGCTCACGCTGCTCTGTCGTCAAGTGTCAGTGTAATTCACAGTTCGCAATATGGGGTATGCATGATGTCTTCGCATACCATCGGTCCAACCCAGAAGTGCTGCGATAAGCTGCAGTATTTGAAACTTTTTCGGGTCTGATCGATCAAGGGCCAGAAAGTGCAACAGGTGATTTGTAACGATGTGCCTAGATAACTTTAGTAAATAAATCAGCAATGCAGCAGGCCTCGAATTCTGACTAACCTATCAACGTTATCTTCAGCTCTGCCTTTCTTGAGGAATCGTAAGGCTTTTGTGAGATGGTCGTTCAGTGTCACTGCCTCGTGTCTTAACTTCCCGATCAGGAGGTTCTTCTCCTTAACTTCTTTTTCGAACGGCTTTACCCTTTCAAGCTCCTTCTGAGCAACTTGAAGAGCTTTCTCGGCCTCAGAAGCTTTGGCCTCGGCGCCTTGGAGAGCCTGTCTCAGCTCCTCAAGCTGAGTGTTCGAGCTTTCCACGAGGTCACGGAGTTCTTGTTTCCGAGCTAGAAATAGTCAGCATCCAAATCAGCCAGAAGCGCTGATATGCATAGTATATGGTCTACCTGATTGAATCTCTTGCAAAGCACGTTGTAAACCATCCACGGTGGCTATCTGAGAATCACGCTCGGAAGCGACTTTCTCATACGAGTCCTTAAGAGCGACCAGTTGCTCTTCAAGGTCGATGACCTTTTCACCTAGGCTCTCTCTTATGGATCGCTCCTCCATAGCGAGGATCTCCCAGTTATGCATGGCTTCTTTTGCTTGCTCGAACTCGGACTGCAAATATGATTCTTGTTCCAGGAGCTCCTCCTTTTCTTTCAACCAATTCTGCTGAGATAGGTTACTCCGACTTCTCAGTGTAGCAATTTCATTTGACTTCTGCTCGTTATCTTGGGTGAGATTTGCCAGCTCCGAGTTTTTCGCGTCCAAGGTATCTCTCAAACTTGAATTTTGTTCCTCGAGCTCCTCGATCTTGGAGTTGGCTTGCGCAAGTTCTTCCTATGGGGTTGCTTAGCCCACGCGCTAGGTCAAGGTGCTTGAGATAAGTACTTCAACATACAGCATCTTCTTTGAGCCTTTCACCCAGCTGCGCTTTGATAGTGTTCACTCTTTCCAGAAGCTTCTGAAATTGTGTCTCTGCGTGCTCCTTCTTGGTTTCGGCGTCGTCCAGTTTCTGCTGGAGAGCTTCCATGTCTGCGCTGTGTTTGAGCTGTATTTCCTCCAAAGATTTGCGCATGTCTGTGACTTCGGCGCGGAGAGAGTCTCGATCTCGAACAAGAGCGTCAAACCGGTCCGACGAGGGTGACCCTGGATCTTCACATTCTTTGCCAGATGCATCATCATGGATCTCTGGGTCCGCAGATCCTTTCGATTGGTTGTACTCAATTTCATTTGTTCCAGAAGCCTCAACAAGCGTAGCCGGAGCTGTCGTAGGTGGCTGTGAGTCCTATTGTCTGGCGTTAGCGAAGATTAGACCACGGCGGCTATCTCGTGGCGGCATCACGAACATTAGGTCCCTGCGTGTTGTCAATTTGTTCACCCGAAGGCCTTTCTACTTCTCCGTCCTCAACCGTGACATGGGCTTCCTTGTGTTTTGCGGTGCCCTTGTTCTTCTTGTTTTTCTTCGACTTGACGGCTGCTGCTGAGTCGTCAGCGTGATTTTTAGGCAGAAATCTTGAATATTATCTATTAATTCAAACCAACCAGCAACCTACCTTCGGGCATCTTGTGTAAATGCTGTTCAAGGAAGCTTCGGTGGGATGGCAATTGCTTAGACGGCTGGCGCTACTCTGGGTGCCAGATCCAGGGCATACCTGTCAACACCACTAGCGCGGTTGCACTTGTTCCGAGCCAAGTCCGCATCCTAGTAGTTACGACATCCAGGGCGAGCCAACGTCGTGGCAGGCACTTATCGATACATGCAGGTAATGAGGCAATTACAATTTTCCAGATCTTTACGCTGGGTGTTACAAAAGGCGAACTTGCGTACGAGGGATGGAAACAGAAAATGTGTCATTAAAGCGGCTCCGCGCAATGCATCTATGCTGTCCACTCTCGACTTGGGTAGTGCGGCGCACTCAGCGGCCAATAGCCATAGGAGCCACGTTTCGTTACGTTTCGTTATATTGTCATAGACCGTATTGGTCCAATGTCGAGAAGCCTGGGCGACAATCAGACAGCTGATTCATGTGATTCCATACTTATCTTCTGTCGAGAGCTCATTTGCCTCGAGGAGCCTCAACTTCTAAGGGAAGACGAGACTACAGTAGCTCTTGTTCAACTGAGTCGTCCGCAGGAATTGTGATACCTAGCAGATTTCATTCACATGAAGTCGTCTAGGAAGTCTGAGTCTCGATCCTGATTGCTGCTTGCCTGCATGTTCTCTTCACTGAACAGGTCATCGTAGGCATGCTCTTTCTGCCATTTAAGCTGTTCACGTTCTCTCTTTTCCTGCTTTTCCCTGGCTTTTTGCTCGTCTCTTGCCCTTCGTTCTTCCTTTTGCTTTTTCTTTAGAGATTCCTCCTTCTCTGCGCGAAGATCCGGAAATCTCTCCTCGCGAGTCTTGTTGAGCCGATTGACAATTGCATTTTCTCGCTGTCGAACGTAGACTTTTCGAACAATTTTGGGGTTGTGGAATGAGACCTGTCCAGTCGCCATTGACCCGTCTTTCAGCAAATTTGACCATGGCGTGTAAATCACCGTGATGTTATCCTTCTTGTTTCCTGCACCGCCGATAAGCGTTACCTCCCACTCTTATATTCTGTCACATGAATAGAAGTGCTTCAGGGCTGACCTTCAATGGAATTGGCTTTGGTGAGCTGGGCACAGTCTTCTAGGAGCGGTTGTGGGATCTGGTCCCACGTTTCACCATCGCGAAGGCGCAGGTAAACGTGAGCACTCGATAGATTATCGACATGAAACTGGGTACTCCATAAGTACAAGAGTTTGGACCTCATTATGCTTTGAGTCTCGGGAGTAGGGAGGTGGACACAAACCCTGGGGAGATAACCATAAGTCAATTCTTAGCACTCAGCACAATGATGAGGGTATAGGTGGTGGTTAGTGGTACCAGACATCCTTCTCTAGGCCGTATTTGATGAGATCCTCATCTAATAGCAGGGACTTTAGATATTGGGCACGTTTCGCAGAGTCGAAGAATGGCCATCATACTTTCAAATTTGTCTTTTCCGACATAGATAAAGGCAGCAGGGTTCACCACATTTGAGGTAAAGTAGTATACCATCTTGCCGTTCTGCAGCAAGTATAAGCGCCTCTTAGCTAGCAGAACCACTATGAAAGAATCTTTCTCTTGATGGTTGATAAGCCCTTGTTGATAAATTCAGTGAGAAACAGTGGGGTGGGATTTTCTAGGTTTGGTCAAAGGTGGAGAAATTTACTATGTACTATCTACCACTCTCCTGTGTCTAATCCTTCTATACTCCATAAGGTAGTCAGTTTAATTGTTGTTCTAAATTACTTTCAGATTCACTCCCTTGTTAAAAGCCTAGGCTTCTTAGTTTATATATGACAATTTATATCATCCGCGATATAACTAAGCATCGGGCTTGATATAGGTGATGGTATTAGGAATGTGTAAGCTGAAGCTTATAAGGTCTTTCTAATGATCACACATATACAGGTAAGGTAGATAGTTTCAGGTACAGTCTGCAATCTAGATATTTCATATCTTCTCCCTAGCCAAGTAGACACCATTTCTTTCCTTCTTCTTTCTTCTTTTTTTTTTTTTTTTTTCCTTTTAATAACATCGGCCTCAGGTGATTACATTTGGTGATGTGCTATCATTGATAATGATAAGAGACAAGTTAACAACTACCTCTGAATATGGAATTAGGCTAAGCATCATTGAGAAGAAACTCCGATCCGAGCTCAGTGTAGCAGATTGTCTCAGTATCATTTCCACCATAAAGGCAGCTTACCCTAAGTAATACTACAATGTACAATCACAAGTACGCTGATCTGTACAGCTCTGCCTTCCTAGGCAGCATTGGGGGTACTCTGAACCTTTCCGTCATCGACCTTTCAAATGATCATTTCAGGCCTCCAAACCAAGGTACCCTATACTGCCCACTCTTGTATGGTCATTTGCTGCCTTGCAAACATTCTTCGTGCATGCACACATCATACCACTCCGGCCTCCCGAATCCCATTTGCCCTGGGGCCCTGCCTCATTAGACCCGCAAGGCTTCAGGGCTCGGTGGAAAACCATACCTGGAACCGGAAATCAAGCCGCATAGTATATACTATCTAGCTGAAACTGGATCCGAAGTGAGAATGCTGGTCGAATAGTCAGTTGTCCTCCCCATCTGATAGTAAATCAACGCGGCTAAATATATAATAATCATGATTATTATGGAACATAGTACGCTCATCTGGATAAAGACGCACTATGTCAAGGATTGATTCCTCGATACTTCGTACACCGGAAGAAGACGAGCTTGATTCAGACAACAACAGGTATTTCGGTACACCCGGCTGCGAGATTCTCGGCAAGAACCAGCATGCATAGCACGGAGTGCTTTCCTTCCCAGGGGATTGATATGTAATTAACCTATGACTATATCATCATATTCAACCAGCCTCGATGGCAGCAATGTGAAGTTCGAGCGCAAGTGAGAGAGTGCCGATTCATGATCTTCCCCCAGCAGGACAGTAAGGTCACCCCATGCATCAGCACCACCTGGGTTTCATGACAGTCGGTCCCGAGTGTCATTGCCATTGATTTGATCGGGTGATATCGCATTCATATATACATTTTCTTCCTTCTTCCTTCTTCGCCCTTCCCCTTTTTCTTTTCGATTTTCACACCGCGGAGGAATTCATTCGGAAAAGGAAGTAGGTAAGCTTAGCATTAAGATATACTTGTCGGCTTCCTAGCGCCGACAAGAGTGGAGGATCCTTACCTAAATATTGCCTCTGGGAAGACTATCTACACCACCTTATGTCATAGGACATGGATACTTGCATGGGAAGTACCAGGTACTCACCTGCAACCATCAATTACAGAATATTCCGTGAGAGAAAGCCGGGGAATCTGGTACTCGCATAGCCTAAATTCTACCGGCGTTCTTCCTTGTCCTCCCATGTTGGGACAATGGCAGGACCCCCGAGACACCCCTTAACTACATGGGGGTATTTGATTCATACTACCAACTATCTAGCCACAACGGATGACCACGAGATTGAAGGCAATTTCCGAAGTCTTAAATTTGAACCAAGTGCGATCATGCGAGTCATTCAATTGCCTAGCTTTCCGTCGACCATATCGGTTGATTCGCTTCACTCACTACTAGCAGTAACCACCGATCTCCACTTAACTCATGCACCGGACACGGTGTCCAGGTGACATCCATGGTTGATGTGGCATGTGGTGGAAGAGTCAGACTTTACCAGTCATCGTTAGATATCGACGAACGGTAAAATGAATCGATACTGGACAAGTTCCGTAGTGGGTAGTACGTAGTCCGCACATATATAAAGTAGGTAGTACCCACCTCTCAACTTCCAAGACCAAGGCCATACAGGGAAATCAGGTATTTGTTTCGCGTAAGCGCCAACCACTTGGGGATCACTCCGATACTTAAACAAGAATTCGTGTGTGTCCTGTAGGGAGTAGTCCGTACGTACCCCGAGTGCCCGACTATCGGGTTCACGAGCGTCACTTTCCGCTGCAAGTGGTTCTTAGTCAGTAGTCAGAGTAGCACAAGGAGCTGATTTCTGTGAGGACGCCAGACAGCAATTTCACACAAGGTGCAAACTGTGGGTGGGTCGATATATGACTCGTCGGTTGAAAGGGAGAAAAACCGTTAAGCCAACTGGACAAGGGATCGATTAGCGTTGGAATCAGTCTCAGGCAGTCGGGCTACGGCGGTAGATCCGGAACAGTTAGACCAAGTGACTTACATACCTCTACCTTAACTTAGTTAGTCAGGTCTGTTCGTTTCAGGCGTCTCTGCTACAGAGGTCTACGGCCTACAGCGGGTATGCCCGTACCAAGACTCCACCTGCCACATGGTCGTTGTTATTGAATTATGAACACTTGAAAACAGAACAAACTGCTTATGAGAGTCCTATCAGCGCGCCAAAAAAAAAAAAAACTCTAAGCTCTGTCTGGTCTTCCTTCGCTGTACCTTCTGCAATCGCAATCGGCTGTTGCATCGACTGATTTGTCAGATGTCGAACACACGCGTTGCGAATGGCTCGCGTGCGAAAGTGCAAGACTGCTTGTAGGGGGTATGAACAAAGGAAAAGACAAAAGAAACGGCAGATCTCCCAAAAGGCCAACAATATGTAGCCGTTCCCGACTTCTCTCAATCCCTCGTAGGAGATTCGATCCACGATTGCTCTCCCTTCTCCACCCTGGCTGCATTAATTTGACAGATTTGGAGGGGGCTTCCTCGAGTACGCATTTTGCCAGGGATTCGATCGATATATTTAAATTTCTGAAAATTGTCTCTCGCTGCTCTCTAGTGCTTTTTTCTCTCTCTTTCTCCTTTCCCTTTTCCCTTCGGTCTGTTCTTTTCTCTTCCACTCTGTTTGTTCCCTCTGTCAATTGTTTGAATTGGTAACCCAGCTACTTGCCAGCGTTTCTATTCCTTCGAAACGCCCACACGCAGACAGCCCTAGATATCTTCAAGGTGTCGAGGATCATCACTCTCGAACAGTGACAAATGGCCAATTCCACAAGTCCTACAGATAGTTCCAACATCCGCCAAGCACTGGAGCGTGCCCGTAACTGCGAGCCTGATGCTGTTGATGGACGCACTACCGACATACTCGAGACTGCCATCACGAATTTGTGGCAGAGGATACAGAATGCTCCAGATAGCTATGTGCTGAATGGGGACGAATTTGCATTATTCAACTATTTCCGTGTCAGATTTCGCCATAACCGGATTGCCCAGTTGGCAGTGGAACGGTTCTGGAACAATTACCGTGGGAACAGCGCAAGCAGTGATGGAAGTAAGACATAGCATTTGCTGTTGTACAGACAGCACTGGATTTTCAGTGATATGCGCGAAAACCACAGTGTCTTTTTCTTTGCGTCCTTCGAGGCAATCGACTTGGCCAAGAGGACCACACGCTTCGGTTGCATGTCAAGCCTAACCGTCCATGACTCTTAAAGGCTCAAGAGTGAAATGCGACTATCAAAAATCGACGTTCCTGTGGGCAGCTGGTGTGACATTTGAGCTGTAATCCGCGGGTCCAGGGATACTATATGACCATGCCTAGCTGGCAACTGTACCTGCGAAACAAGGATTGGGAGCGCTGGACGAAATAACTTCCGGGACGATATTGCCGGGTTAAACCAGCATTTGGAACTCGTCTGTGTCTTCTGAAAGCACCTGGGAGGATGTCAGCAGGAATGGCCGTCCTCTATATGTGCGGAGATAGTTTTTCTTTGGCCGGACGACCGTAATCACTTCCATGATCTTCGGTTCACGCTCAGCACCACACTTCGCCTGGACTCAATCCCCTCTACAAACATTCGGATTTGACTCGATGCAGCTGTGCTGCGAGGTTTTTCGAGTCAAGAGCGGCATTGATTCTCAAATGATGTATCTGTAAAACGATCGAGGTATAATAATTTTATTTCTTTTCCATATCAGGTCTTGAACTCGGACTACCACTGCTCAGGCTGGGCCAACCTGTCGCCAAAATGATTCGTTGGGCTTGGGCCACGGCTGTCGTCCTTTTCGGTTCTGGCCTCCTCAGTTGCATTTAATATGTTGATCTTGCCAGTGATCTACTGGTCATACAGGCACAAGGTGATTAATCCCCACTCGTAGGAACAGTTATCCGCACAGACTGTGACATCCTCCTTCATAATTATCATGACCAAGTTAGGTCGATCAGAGTATTGCGTCCTGCTTATGCATGGAATTTAGTGGTTGCAGATGGGTTGGTCAAGGCTACTGTTGGTTATAGTTCAATGGACAGACAATCTTTGAACAAGAAAATTTATGATTGGCCTATACTACATTAGGAGATGCGACAGAGTAACCTACTCCAGAGTAACCTAATAACCATGTACGTAGTCCAGGATTTAATCTACTACTATATTCTCCAGTAACTACCACTGTAAGAAACTCGGCCGGATTCTAGATTACCACAAGACCAAAATATTAACATTACCGCAAGATGCTTCCCATCTCCCGAATCTGGACCTATATAGTAGAACACATTGTAGACTCCCTACGACCACAGATAAGTTGGTCACTTATTTATGTTGTTTGACAATTGTATATATATTGGCATGGGAAGAAAAACAGGCAATTCAAGGGAATAAATAAGGAATAACAAAAAAAGTCTCCTCACAAAAGTAATACTTCCCAGGTCGCGCCCGGAATCGAACCAGGATTGCCAGAATCAGAATCTGGAGTGATAACCATTACACTACGCAACCAGAGGGTGGTGGCTTGAAGTGGGTGGTTCGATATACGAAATTTTGCAAAAGTAGAGAAGAGAAAAAAAAAAGTATAAGGTCGTGCCCGGAATCGAACCAGGATTGCCAGAATCAGAATCTGGAGTGATAACCATTACACTACACAACCAAGCTATTTATAATACACCCAAACTTAAAATGCAATATATGGAAAGATTATCAAGCTTGTTCCTCGATTCAGTTCAATTGACTTAAGCCTAAGAAAGCGCAGTACGGAAAATTACACTGTGTTGCCTGTATCCAGTTGCCTTCCATTCCTAGGAGGTACCTTATGATAAGTAACTATTCAAAGTACTCCTCGTAAAGTATACCAGTACTCGTCGCCCTTAGCTAATCTGACCGTACCTACAGGTATCTTTAGGATGTTTGCCGCTGGCGGTGCAACGCAGCTTCCTTTGGAGTGTTATGGCTAATAACTGGGCTCTTGGCCAACTCACCCTTTTGGATTCGGTTCGATGCCACATGGAAACACTAAGCTCGCTATCTTATGTCGAAAGATGCGAACTTTCTATCTCGAATAACTTGATAATAACACATTCCGTAAGAAAAGGATTGGCAGAAGTATTTAGACAAGGTATATCTCTTCTATCTCTGATATGCAATAAATGTAGATTAGCTGTATTGATTATGTGTAAGTGCTACTATATGATGATTACAAGCCCAAAAATCCCGCTTAGTGTGCTCTACTTCTCTCAGAAGGAGGATCTATCCATAGGAGTGCTAAGATATAGTGTTTATTTGGTTGTTCTAATTTAAGCGTATTTACTCCTTAATCTGCAACCACTATTGTACATGGAAGGTGAATTTCCGTATTGTACCTTAATTTTACAATGACTGTTTCCCCTGGGTTGACTTGTGATGAGTACAGAGTTCTGTCAGCAATGTCTTCTCGGTGGTTTCTGGAGATAGTAACTTAATTACTTTGACCTCCTTTCTGGACTCAGGGGTGGATGTTAATGGGGTGAGTCACCAGCGGATTCAGTGGTTGTTGTCTCCTGGATCTGATAATCTACGAAGTACTGTAAACCTCAAGAAGCAGAATGTTGTCAATCATAGCATGAGAACTAATCTCCACTGGGTAAATTGAGTACTGGTGGGTTGAGTGCAAAAAAGCCGCGCAGGTAATTGGGTCAAGGACTATCGACGAGGACACAGGCCACACACCCTTGTGATATCTTGACAACACAGGCCAGGTCAGTTATCATAGGGCATAGGCAAAGAGGAAAATAAAAGTACATTGAGAGAAAGATTGGGGGGAAAAAAAAGGTCGCGCCCGGAATCGAACCAGGATTGCCAGAATCAGAATCTGGAGTGATAACCATTACACTACGCAACCAATTTTCTGAGAGCAGAATTTCCGGTTTTTATTATACAAAGAAATACTATTGGGTTATACGTATGCATACTACATGTGAGATCCTGCGCCGGGCTCCATGGATTCCCCAAACTGAGGCAAAAGACCTATTATGATTTGACCATGGGGTCACATCATGCCTGGCTTAACACTAAATTTCTGATCTGAAAGAGGCATCCTCCTAAACATTACTTTTTCTGCTGGATATAATAGATATAAATGAACGTAACTGAGTGCATGCAGACATCATGGGCTCACTTGGATAGATACTAGGCTAGTATCCTACAACATCCACTTGGGGATTTCTAGAACTTTAGGTACAAGAAATATACAGTACTCCGAATAGGGGTCACATCCTACTGCACCATGACTTGTTAGAAGAACCATACAGAACCACACATTGATGCCTTTTAAGAAACTACGTTTCTTAACTACAGGCAGAAATGTCTTGCCAATTCAACGGTTCCCAGTACTGTTCTTTCTATTTCCCTCAGAGCCCTGGTTACTCTTTCGAGATGGCATGCGCAGCTAGGTAGCTTTAGCTTTCGCATGCACATACTAGGAATTAGTTAGAAATATTAAAGAGCTGCACTATGGCAGATCGATATAGGGCTGCGCCCACGGGTAAATATAGAGTGGATCACGCCAACCTATCGTGTTATTGTAGGTATGGTACATGGCCCCAAGTTTTGCACTCCTTTCCCAAGTTGCCTGCTATGAACTTACTTTTATCCTTTATATATAATTAATTTCGTACTCGGTACCGTCATCTGGTTGCGTAGTGTAATGGTTATCACTCCAGATTCTGATTCTGGCAATCCTGGTTCGATTCCGGGCGCGACCTGTTTTTTTTTTCTTGTTATTACTACTACCTGTCCTAGCCATTTACATTTCTTTTTGGTCAGTCATCAACCTAATCATCCTGACCATGCCTCTAGGATGAAACATGTCAGGATGGATAAATAACATGTTGTCACCATAAAAGCTGTATGTTAATTTAGTTATGTGAAGAAAATGCCCCAACCATTTAAATATCTACCACCTCATAAGAAGTTAGTGTTCGTAGCAGCTAGTATAGCATTGATATCGGAATGTTATAACCATGAAACATCAGCCCAGGTCATGCTTATATAGGGTCAACGCTCTGGGCCCCTGGACCCCTCAGGGCCCCATGCCACGTCTAATGCCTTGGTCTCTGATAGGGACCATTTTTTCGAGAAGATGGTAGTTCACTACGAGGAGTAAGGGGTAGTAATAATATCAACCAGCCTTCAATTGGGTCATACTAGTAGGTAGTTATGGGCCAGTGTAATTCTTTGTACTATAAAGGGCACGACCTTAAGTTGGTAATCAGGCCCTTTTCAACAGCACCAGGTTGTGTAGTGTAATGGTTATCACTCCAGATTCTGATTCTGGCAATCCTGGTTCGATTCCGGGCACGACCTTACCAATATCTGGACTACAACCTTTTTTGTCTTTTTGCTCAACTTGCAACCAACTGCAACGGCGGATTTCCCATGGACTTCACTTCACAGTCTTGTCAAGCAAGCTGTACTTCATGCCTGAACGCCGTCCTTAGACACATATATTCTTTGAAGCCCTGTCAGGAGCTGCAAATGCTACTCGTAGCTGGTTGACAAATGTATGCTTCTGTATTCCATTGCATCGCACTGGCTGCAGCAATGACACACGCGGCGATTCTGCTGAAGCACGGAGAAAAATGGTCCGTATCAACAATGCAAAAGAGTGAAAATATTGATGATCTATAGGCACAATGAAAAAAAGGGACATTTTCGGCATATATTACAAAATCTCGCCATCTATATATCATTATCATGTCTATTTATTGGCCGGGGAGTCAGGGCTGATCAACGGATCAGACGATTTCGAGCTATCTTTGCTCTTATCACCGTTGAGCATGTCTGCTGGTGGTTCTGAACATTTAATTAGCCTAGCCAACAAAGAGATCTTGCATTGGTCACTCACCGGTTCTCGACGATTTCCACTGCACAAGGTCCAATTCCTTCACCCTGCCTGCCTCAACCTCCGATCTGGACATTCCAAGAAGAGACTTCGGGAGTCCCATTGACGAAAGGAATGAAAGAGAGTCCTTCCATTCGACTTCCTTTCGCTTGTCGTCCCAGTTGAGTTCAGCGCCCATCAAGTCGATGATCCCAGGAAGAGCTTCAAGTGCTGCTTCAGCATTGAGGAAAGCCAACCGGGTTCTGCGCGCAATGACATCAACTGCAGTTTGAGCATATTCGTGGCGGACGGCATAGCGAACTTCACCGTCAATGAACGGATACAACGCCGAGATACGTCGGCCCCGGAGGGGGAAGCGAGCATCTGTCGGAGCAGACAGAGCTGCAACCTGCCATGCGCGGTCGCCATAAGATTCAGTCAGATGCTTGGCCACGTCAGTCTCGAGGCCGAAGTGCTGAATGAGGTTGATGAAGAGGGTTTTGGAGTATCCATGGGCTCCAATCAAGCGGACTTGGTGGGTCTGGCAGCTACCATCAAGTACGGCACCGTCGGAGACCAAACCACTTCCACCAACTCCACTGATGTCCGGAACCTGGGACACCTCCCGGGTTTTTAGGCCGAACACCTTGATCGCCTCGTCCACGGCATCCTCGGCCATTTGACGGTACGTGGTCCATTTGCCGCCAGCGCAAGTCAACAAGCCAGACGGAGAAACGGAGATTAGATGGTTGCGAACCAAGGCTTCGGAGCTCTTGACTTTAGGGTCACGAACCAGCGGGCGGATTCCGGACCAAGCAGCAAGCACATCACTTCGTTCGACGTTAATATCTGGGGCTAGGTAGCCGCGAACTTCAGAGAGAATCCAGTTGATGTCCTTTTCAGAAGGCTCGGGCTGGGTCGTGATCTCTGTCGGCTGATCGGTCGTACCTGCTATAGTGTTTCCCTGCCACGGAAGAAAGAAGATGACGCGCCCATCGGAAGTAGACGGATCAATGAGGCCCATTTTCGAGGGGCTGTAGTAACCCGGAAGGATGACGTGGACGCCAGCACTGGGAGCTACAATCTCTTTGACATCGGGCTCGTCCATTTTCCGGATGGAATCAGTGAAGGGACCAGTGGCGTTGATAATGCCCTTAGCTCTGATTGTGAATTCCTGTGCCTCTTGACCATTCTTTCCCGGAATCAAGTCCTTCACGCGGGCCCCATTCAATTGTCCTGTTTCATCTTTGGTTAAGCCAGTAACCTGCATGTGGTTTACGACTGTGCTTCCATACAAAGCTGCAGTCATTGCTAGAGACACATTCATCCGAGAATCATTGTGCGCTCCATCTGCAGGACATTAGCATTTAACCCGCCAAACACGAGAGCATCAGACATGGCGTGTGGAGAACACATACCATAGTAAACCATCGCACCGACGAGGTTGTCCCTTCTCAACATAGGGAACGCATCAATGGCTTTGCTCTTGGTGAGAAAATATGAGCTCTCTATGCCTTCGGAACCGGCCAACCAGTCATAGGCCTTTGTACCGGCCCAGAAGTAAGGCGCTTGCCACCATTTTTGCACTGGCACCATGATAGGAAGCCAACTGGAGAGATGGGGCGCTGTATTCAAAAAGTATTTG